GCGCGTGTGTAGTGATTTTTGGGTCCAATGGGTCTAGCCCATTTTGCCTATAACCTCCCTCTCTAAAACACTTGGGTACTCCTTGGGGCACACCCCAAGTATCAATCCCATGCCTTATAAACCCAAAAAAAACCTCCCAACAAATCAATGTGGGACAAGCCATTTTCCGACCTTAAGGAATTTCACCGAAAACTCCATTTCCATGGAGCTCACTTTGATTTCAATTTCTCATTCACCCGATAAAGGTTTTAAGCAACCAAATATATTACGTGAATCATAACGCGGCATAGAACGCGGTACCACTTAGACCCGCCAACTTTGGCATATGGGTCCTACCTAAAAAAATAGACTAAAGTTGAGGAAAAATCTGATTTTTCCAAAACTTCCAAAACCATTTCTAACAACACAAACCAAACGCAGCCTTTAATCTTGGAACTTTACTTACTTTCCTCTTATTTACATTTTGTTAAAATTTGATTGGATATATTTTTTATTTTAGATTTTTAACCTTTGGCAACATTTTTTTAAGTGAAAGGTCCAAAATAAAGCATAAGCAACATCATTCTGCATAAAAAATTGGCATAAAGTTGTAGAAAGCTACACAATCTGCAAAACAAGGAATTTAAATTGCTGTCTAATTTGGTTTTCACCCCATATTTCCTTCAACAAAGTCTTGAAGATACATGAACCAAAATTTCAAAAAATAAAAAAATAAAAAGAAGAAGAACAAACATTTTTGGTAGTTATAGATTGCTAGGCAGGATTTGCGAAGAAGACATAACTTCTCTTCTAATTTCATCTCTTCTCAATTTCCCAGTACTAGTCAATGGAAACTGCTTCTTCCATATAACAAAACTTTTTGGTATTTTAAACCTGAAAAATATAAAAAAATAAAAAATAAAGAAGAAGAAGAAGAAGAAGAAGAAGTAGAAGAAAGACATTGTATGATATAAGAGGGAAAGAATATATATATATATATATATTTTTTTTTTTCTAGAAGTGCCTAATGAAATTCCAAAGAGAAAGGAAAATAATAACAAAAATGCTAGAAATACCTAATGAATTACATAACAAGGCTTCGTTTGGGAAGTGTGTTGGTTTTTTGCCTTTTTTGACTATTTTAGTCTCGAACTAAAAAGCCTGATTTAGGAAAAGCTTTTGGCTTTTTTGGCTTTTTTGTGAAAGAAAGAATGTAATGATTATGGATTGGATGTGATATTTTGTCTTGTTGGGCTAAAAAACCTATTTTATTTTTTATGGCTATTTTAACCATAAAATCCTCAAACCCAACTTCCCAAACATATGCTAAATTATCAACTATTCACAATGAGATATGGGCCCTATGCTATACCCATTGGTAATTTGTTTGCACATTATTAGGGGTCTGGAGAGAGACTCAGATATTAATTATCGTTTAAAAAGTTGTTATTACTCTAAAGAGGCATGCAAAAAGGCATCAAAATGTGTAAACATGCAGAAACAATGCATAAACAACCAGAAAATGAAGTATAAACAAAAATTTGTACAAAATTTCATACCAAAATGAGGTGGCAATGACTTTCTTGAAAATATGTCATACTAATGGGTTAGTGTTTCTAATATGATAAAACCCAAGGCTGCAACATCATTCCAGATAACCATTTTGTATAAATTTTCTATTTGTAGAGCACTGCTTTAAAAAACATATCTCAAGATTTTATTCTTTTTGACATTTTCCTCGCATTAACACAATCCCTGGAGTTGTCATCAGCATGATCCATCTAAAAGTTAGGAAGAAAATTACCCAGTCAAATTCATTTTTCTGCAGAATTGCCGAAGAATTTGAGTGGATAAGGTTTGGTCTTTCTTTCCAGCTAAGTGATCAGAACATGAATCAGCCCATCTCCAATTGTCCCGTATTTGCAAACAAGCAACCACCACCTCTGTCAAACGAGCGTCTGGAAGTCCAACCACTACAATGCCAGAAACTCCCAGATGTTGGGATAGGATAGCCTCCACCTGAGTCATCAAACAACAACAAAAACTTACGCTCCGTTTGTTTCCATAAAATATTCTTCTACAGAAAATGAAACTTTTTGTTGTTGTTGTTGTTGTTGTTGTTGTTGTTGTGTGTGTGTGTGTTTAGTTGCGACTTTGAAACTAAGGTGCTAGTAGTTGTATTAGTGATGAAGGTGGTGATGGAAGTAATGGTGGCGGTGGTGAGGTGGCAATGGCAACGGTGGTGATGTGGTGGCAGTAGTGGTAGTGATGGTGGTGGGGGTGACAATTATTGAGTGGTGGCATTGGTTCCACCTCAAATGTGGAAAATGTTTTCCCCAAAATATGTTTGTTTTCCATTAACCACATAAAATATTCTGTCAACTTTCCTTTTCCATCATACCAAAAAACCAAAAAATGATGAATTCATTATCCAGAAAAATTTTCAGCTGAAAAAAACAGAGGGAGACTTCAAATTATTTAAGCTAATATATAAATAGGATGACATATAGGATTTTCTGTAAGACATTGCAGTTCATCCAAAAAGGGGGAAAAAATATACTGAAAAACTACCCAACTCAACTTCTTTTCATTCCTTTATAACCAAACCAACAGAAAATGTGAAATAACAAATTTCGTTTCCTTTATTTTTCTCCATCTGAAGTTCGACTATCAAAGGGATGTATTAAGTTCTTACACTTACCTCTTCAGGGTAAACATTCTCTCCTCCACTCTTGATTCTTCCCTTAGATCGCCCAACTAGCCATACGTTACCAAAGTCATCGATCCACCCAACGTCTCCCGTGTCAATCCAACTGTCATCACCGGCACTCAATGCCTCTAGTGGAATTTGACCCCAATATCCAAGCATTACATGGGGACCCCTAGTCAATATCCGCCCAACGTGGGAACAATCCTCCGAGCTAATCCTTAGTTCGACATGTGGTGCAGCCTTGCCAACACAAACACCCTTTGGTTGGTGAACCAAACTGGAATCAATATTACAGGTTACGTGAAATGAATGGCTCGAGTTATCGGTTGTTGGATCATAGAGGGTCATAAAGGTTAGTGAAGAACATGTCTCTGTCATTCCTTCAAAACATTGCATGGAAATATGAGCAAAGAATTGTGATAATGCTAAATTAGGCATGTTTAACATTACGTTGCAATTAGCAAACAAATTTGAAAGTTATACTGATGGAAGAAAAACTGAGTTGGTCAACATATATGCATTGAAGTAAAGCTTTTCATAATAAAATTAATCATGTTGAATCGTTGATCTGTGTGCTTGGATCTTCACGTACAAATCTGCTAAAACTTCATACAGAGAGCTTGAGCCTAATCCAGACTCAATCTCAACTCCCATGCATAGATGAAATCATCATTTTCGTGATCCAATCATATAGTTGTTGATATACAAAACAAAACTCAACTATTGATCATTTTCACATGTTATATAATTTGATGTGTTTTCATTCGTGTTAATTTCCAGAGGTGCAATGCTATTTCGACTGGACAAAAAACCAACCTTTGTCAACATTTCTTTATAAAATGGACATCATATAAAAAAAAAAAAACTAGGACAAACAAAAGATGGAAGAGAAGCACACCATAAGCTGAAAGAAGCTTAGCTCTTGGGAAAAATATGGTGACATATTTGATAAGCTCAATTGAGAGACCACCGCCTCCATTTAAAATTTTCCTCACATTTTCTTTCCCTTTCCATGTCTCCTTCATCCTGGCCAAAAAAAAAAATTTAAACATAACTGAGAAAATTGACTACATGTCAAGATAAACAAACACAATACCAAATCCATTTAAAAACATGAATTCAGGAAAGTGAATATAGGCAAACTATAAACACAACATCAAATGCCAGTAACAAATGCCTTCATTCATTATGTTCAAAATTATTTCCAATCGTTAACACATCAAGCCCAGAAAATGCAGCGATTACAACAACTTTATTTTGTGGACAAGATATGTTTCAGAAAAGGCATAAGTTTTAATCCTTGTATCAATAATTTAACAGGAAAATAGAGCATACAGTGATTGGAATGGTTAAAGTATGTTTACATCCTCAAGAACTAAGGCCATGGCTCAGTAATGTTAAGCAAAAAAAACAAAAGCACCATTGAAACCACTGCATCAAATATCCATAGTAAAAAAATGCTGCATATGCAGCTTCTTATTTTTTGTAGCATGAAAATGTCACATATGCAAAGCAGACACTGAAATGTGCTAACAACATACCCTCCTGTAATTTAATTGCATTTTCTACTAACACATTCTATCAAAGAATGTTTTCCTATCTTTTGTTCTCACAATAAAATGGATCACATGGTTTACCTGATTAAGGAAACAATATCAGCCATTATTGCAGGGACAGTTATAAAAGAAGTCACATGGAGTTGCTCTATGGCTTTGAGTGCCGAGTTAGCTTCAAACTTGGGTATCAAGACATGGCAACCTCCTACCATTAACATGGCCATGGCAGAGGATATCCCACCAATGTGGCATAATGGAGCTGTATGCAAATAAACCTACAAAAAAACCACAAAACAACTAAAGCAATTTATCCCGGAGCTATACGCATATAATGCACTTATCTATAAATTTCTTAGGTTGTGTTTGGATCATAGATTTGGGTAGAGATTTGGAAAAGGCGAGAAAAATGGAGAAAAAAGTTAGCAAGTATTTCATACACATTTCCCTCGCATTTTCCTTTCACTTCCCAAACCCCTACCCAAATCCATGATCCCCTTAGTCTTTGCTAGTATTTTTCCTGTTGTCATTCCCACTGCTTGAATTGCCATATCCTTGTGATTTGCGTAAGAAAGAAAATCATGTTTGAGAAGGAAAGGCATACATCATCCTCACCATAGTTGACAATCGCAATTTTTGCCAGCGATTGTACAATCAGAGCTGAATGTCTTATGGTAACTCCCTTTGGCCGTCCTGTGGTTCCTAAATCCAAAAACAAATAATCAAATTAAAATACTGTTTGCCTAAAAGATTTGAGAGTAAATTAGAAAGTACTCAAATAATTTCTCAAAAACTTGATGACATTTGAATGGCCAACAAATGGTGACAAACTATTCCTGTTTCTCGAAGTTCTAACAAGCAGTGCCTACTTGTAACTCTAGCAGCATTTTGACCAACCACTCATACTCTGGTGACTGGTTTTTAAATGTTGGGTGATTTCATCGGTTTAAAACTAACTTTCGTGGGCAACAATAGGTGTCAGACAGTGTTCCACCACCTCTCCTAAAACCAATTGGTGTTAGGGAAGGCTGCACTTATGCCTTTTACGGCTTTCGACATTGTGCCCACAAGCATGGTTTTAGAGCGCATTGTATACCCGACGATCCCTCCCTCACGATGATGCTCCCACAACTTGGACTGTTAAAACCTACCATCACCTACTCCACCTACTACACCTACCACCACCTACTACCACCTACTACACACCTACCACTACCACCTACTCCACTACATCTCCTATATAAGGAGCCCCTCACCATTTGTAATAGATAACATTCAACAATCAATAATACATCAATTTTAACATGGTATCAGAGCAGGTTTAGAACCTAGTATTTTTGCTTCACCGGCGGGCGGCAACTTCGCCTTGGCCGCCCGCCGGACCTCAACCTAGTCCGCTAGAATTTTTTACACATGCCTTCACTCCCTCTCTCTCTCTGCAAGTTCAACCAACCTCCATGGCTCTTCTAGCTCGAAACTCACATCTATTTCGTTCGTGAATTGGGTTAAATTTTCGCGGCTCAATCACCAGCTCTCCCCTGTGTCAAAGCCTTTTCAAAGGGCTACTTTCTACTTCAAGGAGGCTGTTCAGTTGTCTCTCATTCCCAACCCAGTAGTCACTCCTCGAACTCCTACTCCTTTCGATGGTATCTTCAAAATGGGTGCTTACAAATTGCTCTCTGAAGTCTCTCCCTTGATCCAATTCATGAATTTCACTTCCAACCAGGCCTTGCTCGACGCTCTCGACGACGACACTCGTCGCGTCCACGTGATTGCTTTCGATATCGGATTCGGTGCTCAGTGGGCTTCTTTTATGCAGGAGCTTCCGGGGAAGTGTAGCAGAGGTCCTCCTTCTTTGAAAATCACTGCCTTTGCTTCGCCTTTGACTCAAATCGAATGGCCCTAGTCGCATCACAGAGATCAGCAACGATCCACACAACCCTACCATCACTGGCCCATCACTGGCTCCGCCATCGCCGTCGCCGTCGCAGCCCACAGAGAAGAACAACAACAACAGGAGGCTACTCTTTAAGTTGAAAACAGGCTCCTTCTCGGTTACAACACTTCATAGCTCGAATACAACTTCAGGTTCCTAAACCACTCCTGAAATGCAAATGCCACCCTAGAAAACCCACACTCTTTTGTCTGTCTTCATAAGACAATATATCCTCTAATCCTCACTCTCTTCAACTGCAACTTCACTTGGTTTCTTGGCATCTTTGCTCTAACTGAATTGATCAACGAAAAATCAATATCTGCAACAGCAATGCCTGTTGATAGTCGATCAGGTAGCCGACCAACTACAGCAATGCCTCTCGTTGTAGTGGAATTTTCTCTCTACATACGCAGAGATAATGGATGCCTTGGATTCTGTATTCGATCCATTGAGGGAGTTCACGAAGGACAGCGTTCGTCTCGTCAAGAGATGCCACAAGCCCGATCGCAAAGAATTCACTAAGGTCGCGGTCCGTACAGCGATTGGATTCGTGGTGATGGGATTCGTAGGCTTCTTCGTGAAGCTGATCTTCATACCCATTAACAACATCAGGTGCAAATGCTGCTGTATCAAAACAGTCTTGGATTCAGCATGAAGTTCGTGCGTTTTTGAAGGATTGGAAGGGCCTCCGAGTCACCGTGAAGCTCACCGTCCAGAACCGCCAGGCCAAAGTCTCCGTCGTCCCCTCCGCCGCCGCGCTCGTCATCAAGGCCCTGAAAGAGCCCAAGCATGATCACAAGAAGACGAAGAACATCAAGCACACTGGAAACATCTGACCTGCGAAAGCTTGCTGTGAACCTAATCCCATTCCCACGTCTTCACTTCTTCATGGTTGGCTTTGCACCCACTTTCATCATATTCATTATTCCCCTTGTTCCCCACTCTCTCAGTATATATATATATATATATATAACCCATCATGCACTGTGTGTGTGCGTGGGCCAACCTTCTCCACTCATTTATTTTATTATTATTTTGTACAAACTCATACCTACTCTAATTCATACCTCCTCATTTTTTCAACCGCATCCTGATTCACCTTTATTTATTTTATTTTATCAAAAAAAAAAAAATAACATGGTTACACAAGCCCCAATCTGCACTCTCTTTAACATATTCAATATATCTTTCACACATACCTTCTCTCTTTCCACCACCCATTTTCACCAATCCAACACCCCAAACCGTGGTCCCTCGCTCTCTCTGTTACATATATTCTATTTCTCAACCCGTGGAGGGTGGAACCACCTGTAAAAGCTTATCCATATACTTCTCTCTCTCTTCATCCAACCCACCAACTTAGCCGCTTTTTGTCCCCCCACCATAATTGTTTCCACCACCCACCTTTCTTTTTATTTTCTTTTTATATCTATATATATTTTTTTATTCTCACCAACACGGATACCAATCTTCCTTTCTTTTCTTTTTTTTTAATCACACCCATCTACCGCCTAAACTTTATTTTTTATTATAAAGCTTACTTGGTGCTCTCGATTCGCCCTGTTCCCACCACCGCCATCCCACTGGACATAGTGCCTCCAAAAAAAAAACAAAAAAAAAAAAAATAATTTACAAATTTGCACATCAACCCATATTTTATTCATCTCAGGGATCAACCCCGATCACAATTTTACACACTCAAAAAAAAAAAAAAAAAACTCGTTTTATTCAAAAAAAAAACAAACAAACAAAAACAAAAACAACGGCTTTGTTTTCTTTTCTGCAAACGGCCACACACCGACATCCCTTCTCTACTCTGCCGCCGGTCTTTTCTTCTTGCCTCCGTCCTGGGCGACCCTTGACAGTGTTGCCTCCGTGTTTCCCACTCCACTGGGCATGCTCACTACTCCCATATGGTGGACCTCCAAATCGGAACATCACGGTGGCCTTCCGCTTCAGCTCCTTGTTTTCTGCCTTTAGCACACTTATCTCTGCTCTCGCATCCTTATACATGTGTTGGAGCAGAGTCAGTTGGGCGTTTAATTGCTGCACCTCATTTGTCCTACTCTGCAGCCGGTGCGACAAGTTTGTGACCGCCGTCATGGACTCCACACATGCCTTCAAAGTATACTGATTCGCCTCCACATCCGTTTGCACTGCCATTTTTTGCTCCACCGACTGCATCGGAAAGTTCAACGGAGCAAACCCAGTGGTATTTGGTTGAGGTTCACTGGCCACCGCACCAGTTCTCTCTCCTGTGGACTCGTTGAGGTCGGGAAAGAGAGTGAGCAGCCCACGGGACGACGAAGCCATTTTCTGGGTAACAGAGTATTACAGACTCTCTCTCTCAGCACAACAGTGTTACAGCTTCTCTCTCTCAGCACAACGAAGCGATTTTCAGCGGATTTCGCAGGTTTTTTGCTTCTGCCTCGGCCTCAGGCTCTGTTAAATAGCCGAGGCAGCCACGCGCATCGCGCGCCTCTTGACGCCAGACAAACCGGGCACGCCAGCCAAGGCACTCACGTGCCTCGCCATCATATCTGGCACGCCTTTTGATGCATCGGGCACGCCTTTTGATGGCACGCCTTTTGACAGATTGGGCACACCTTTTGAGGGCACGACTTTTGAGGGCTCGATATCTACATCCATGTATATATTTTTTTTGGGCCGCCTATATACACACTCATACAGTGTCTTCTACACCGGTCAGCTTTATCAATCCTTTTGTTTCAACCTCAAATAGGTTTCTATCTTCACACCTATTTGAGTTTGAGAGGGGGGGGGTTATACACAGTATCATGTATAAGTCGCTCATGGCGCACTCCCTAAGTCGCCCCCTTGGTGCACCACCACAACCTCTGCTACAACGGTATCATGTATAAGTCGCTCATGGCGCACTCTCTAAGTCGCCCCCTTGGTGCACCACCACAACCTCTGCTACAACGGTCCGACATGACCCCATAAACTGTCTTCTACATCGGTCCGACATGACCCCATAAACTGTCTTCTATATCGGTCCGACATGACCCCGTAAACCGTCCTTCTACATCGGTCCGACATGACCCCGTAAACTGTCCCGACACATCGGTCCGACATGACCCTGTAAACTGTCCTGCTACATCGGTCCGACATGACCCTGTAAACTGTCCTGCTACATCGGTCCGACATGACCCTGTAAACTGTCCTGATGTATAAGTCGCCCATGGCGCACTCCCTAAGTCACCCCCATGACCCCGTAAACTGTCCTTCTACAACGGTCCGACATGACCCCATAAACTGTATTCTACATCGGTCTGACGCGACCACACAGTGTCTGCTACATCGGTCCGGCATGACCTCGTAAACTGTCCTGCTACATCGGTCCGACATGACCTCGTAAACTGTCTGCTACAACGGTCCGACATGACCCCATAAACTGTCTTCTACATCGGTCTGACACGACCGCACACTGTCTTCTACAACGGTCCGACATGACCCCATAAACTGTCTGCTACATCGGTCTGACACAACCATAACGTGTCTCCTATCTTGTTTTATTTTATTTATCAGTTTATTTTTCTGTTTTGTTACTATCTCCAAACTCAAGTTGGCTAGTACCTATCCTCCTTGAGTTTGAGGGGGGCTGTTAATGTAAATTGTAAATTGTGTAAATTACCCCACCACCAACTCCACCTACCATCTCCACTACCACCCACCACCTCCACTACCATCCACTACCACCACTCACCTACCTCACATACTCCCAAATCCTCTCCTATATAATAGC